AACAACAATACTTCACTTCGGGTCTTCCCATACCCTATCCTTGAACAGCCAATCAAAAATGTTGCAAGTTCCCTCTCTTCATTGTCAGTTAAATACTTAGGAGCACCACAAGACAAATTGGGAAGCACTTTTCCAGATAATCGATCATATATCGTGCTTTTTGGCTCAGCAGCCTTCCTTACGCTCATGCCACGAAGAGTGATGGATTTTATGGCCTGCTCCATTCCTTCTTCTGTCCAATTCTTCCTCCACTTATCACAAAAATCCTCGACAGGTCTAGATCTAGCGTTACCAACTGGTCTAGGAATACAAGTGCCTTTGTGACTAGCATAAGTAAAGACAGTCCTTTCTTTTAGCTGAGGTACGGTAGAGAAAGACATCTTGTGACAGCTGATACAACTTACAATGTGCTAATGTGTTAGGATGGAAGGGGTTGATAAGGGTGATAATAATGCGCATGCGCCACTTGTCCAGTAAGACATCTTGTGACAGCTGATACAACTTACAATGTGCTAATGTGTTAGGATGGAAGGGGTTGATAAAGGTGATAATAATGCGCATGCGCCACTTGTCCAGTATTTGCATGGCCACCGATCATATACTGCTGTGACTTTTATAGGGGACGGAATCTTCTCGCTTTTGCAGCATTTCATTGTCATAGTTTGATCTCTAAACTAGTGCAGTTTGATGGGGAAAACATCAGTGAGAGACATGATTTTACACCTAGTCTGACAATGCATGATTCGTGTCCTGTAATAGAAAATTTACTGGTCAACCATTCAAACAGTATTTATCGAAAACGCAAGCGCCAAAGGAGCTGCAAACTTCAGTGCAAGTAGAGCTATATGAGAGGATTCTCCAGCATTAATCTTGAACGAACCACTCTTGTAACAAAGAAAATATAGTGTCCGGTATTTGATGATGTCTGGTAATTGATCTCTTACTCTAATGCATAATCTCTGTGTCTGATTAATACTGCTTGTCCTTCATCTCAATGTACATGTACTCTCTTGCTACCTATTCATGTAGTATTAGGTAAAGTGTATACATTTATAGATGTACATTAGGTAATAGTGTCAGGCCATACATGCTAAATAATATCAGTATCAGTGTCAAGCCTGCTATGCAGTTCATCCCACACTACAGAGCTGGAGCTGTGCTTGTTCACACACCCACAGCTCCACAACTGCAGTGATTATATATAAGCCATATACATATACCACATTACATATAAAAGCAGAGCTCATTCAAGCCCTTCCCCCTCTATAGTGTTTTGACGTACCAGTATACTACACATGCAGCTATATAGGATTCAATTAGTTACTAACAAACCTTTATATTATTTTGTTGGTATGTTAATATCGAAAAGAATAAATTTCAAATGGAAAACTCCGGCCACAACACATCTTGAAAACAGAGACAAGAATAAGAGCTCTATTAATAATAATAATAAATTAATCAATTAATTAAAGAATACCTACCATATAAGGAAGTCACTTAATCTCACTTCTCCTCATGTTCTAATGACAAGATCAGGTGGTGTACATGTACCAGTATAAAGACATCTCTCCATTTACTCTTCACTGATATCTCTATATAATGTAAATACATGTACTTGTATAGTGTATGTATAATACATAGGCATAGGAATGATTCAAAAGTTGGGGGGGGGCTCAACATTAAAAAGCATGACTTAGCATGTGAACATTGGGGGGCTAAGCCCCTCTTGGATTCACATACAAGCATACACTCATACAACCAGTCAACCAGTCACACTAAA